AGGATCGTCGCAATATGCGCTTTTGCAATTTGCACATAGGCAAAAACGCATAAATAGTAAGTCAAAATATATACCTGTTTCGATACCTTGGTAAGCAGATATTTGTGGCCTGGTCCTCTAACTACATGATTGGCAGATTTCTGCTTTGGCGATAGCTACACACACATTTGGCATAACTTCAGCAATTTCGACATGCCGATGTTGTTTGTTAGGCATAAGCATCTCATCTCGTACACACAGGCATTCTCAGATCACGAAGAGCGCCATCTTAATTAACGGAGCGTCAAGATGTATACTTTTGTATAAATAAAAAAGTAAACAGTTGCTTTGTTGGGAATGTGTCTCCTCCAAACACTTTTTATATACGAAATTTTGATCAGTCCAATTTACTTGCATTTTCAGAACGAATTTACCGTCACCGCACAAACTCCTTTTGCTCTCAGCGATACGTTGCTGCTAAGCAAAGTCTCATCAGAAGGGTAAGAAATTTCTTAGAAAATAATACAGTTTATTTTTTGCTTATCTCCCTTTTCGAGCATTTCTGCTGTGCAACGTTAGCGCGCTGACACAGCAAGATAGAAACATGGTCTAGGACGGTTTAGACCATGTCCACGTTGCAAACAGTTTAAGAGCATCCTCACAAAGTTCCAGCTTCTTGAATTCTTCAGTTGTGGAGTTTAACTTGGGTGACGAAAGTCCGAATATATGCATACACACACACACACACACACACGGGCAACCTGCTGTCAATATGCGTTTTTGTATTCGCATAAATACGCAATGAAGTATGATGAATAGCAAGTGAGCAACGGGGACGGGTTAATTCTCGTCGATGATTTTTTTTTTTTTTTTGTGGATACACGACACTTGAATTTATCAAAAAGTGCACGAATTCGCTTAGGGATGCAAAAGATATTTTGATTGTTCCGCTTTGGAAGCTACAATATTCTCTCAGTAATACGCGTTGCACGATTATAAAACTGTTTGAGCTGAAGCGAAATTCTTGGCGCATGAATACAGATGTCGAGTTTGTTTTGTGAAGTCAGCATTCAACATATGTCCTCTATGTGGTCAGAACTGATTTTCTGAAAATTTTTTGCTAAATTATGCAGTCCAGATTTGAATTGTCTGAGCGAATACACTCACGCATACAGGCATGGCTTAAGCAACAGCTTGTATAATGTACAAGCGCACCAAAAGAATTACGAGTAAATATTTCCTCGCCACCATCAAAAGAATAGCATGAAAAAATTAGGAAACGGAGACTACCTGTTTTTTCTTTTCCGAACAAAAATCTGAAGCTAGGGTTGCATCACTGCATAAAAAATTACCATCTGCCTTTGAAGACTAAACATGGACAGGTTTTGACCGTTGCCGAATAAGCATATTATTTCAGCCCTACAGCGTGCAGCAGTGATTTGGTGGATCTTTTATTCATTATTGATACGTCGAAAAGTGTCGAAAACGATTTTTACAAGGAAAAAGCTTTCGCGTTGCGCTTAATCAAAGTCATCCCGCCAGCAAATTTTGCTGTTAGTTTTCATGCGTTTTTGCAGTGCAGCTATAGCGGGCAAAAACGCATATTGTCGAAAATTTATCTATGACCGTATTCGGAAGCGAGTGAACTTTGTCACCTACTTTCAACTCAGCAACCAGGAAAGCTGGGAGGCTGAGATTTTGGAGAAATATTTGCACCCATGTATCACCCTCCCATTTTAAGATCTTCCTTCACATACGTCTGGATCTCGCGTACGTCCCTCCGAAAACAATCTGCAGATTTCTTTGGGGGAAAACGATTTTAGGAACCAGAAAAGGTAGAAAGCTCAAATTGTATGTGCTATGTGCTTGTATGAGCTAGAGATTTCAAAATCAGCCATCGCACAAGCTTGTGCAGCGTGTACGGTCACATCAAACTTTGTACCTGGAACTGTACTAACTCGAAAATGAGCAGGAGAACAGTGGCTGAAATTTTGTCAGAATATTTATCTTCCACAGGGGAATCATACACCTAAAATGAGTTCCGATTTGTACTTGCGGCGCAAAAACTAGGGCACTTCAAAGATTTTTGTAGCAAACTGGCTATTTCGCTTACCAGATAAGGAGCGGGGCTAAAACTTCGCCGGGATATTCTACTTTCAAGTGCGGTCTTAGTTCTGCTTGGAAGTGAAATTCCCTGCAGGTGGATATGAGAAATATTTAACTTTACCACAAACTCAGGAACGAGTGCATTTTGCAGCGGACGACCGCCAACATCCTCCCCAGCATCCAGTTCATTTACATATTTGGATTCTTTTGATGAACGACCACTCCTCTGGGTGGACCCTGCGTTGAGCAAAAACTTATGCTCGTACCGGCCAGCCTGGTGAGCTCCAGCCTGGCGAGCTCCAGCCTGGCCTTTGTTTGCCGAGACTGTCTGGACAACCAGCATAAAAGTTCCGTGTTGAGATGTTACAAGCATTGGGCGCCAATAAGCAACATTTTTCGATCCTTCGTACTTACAAGTAGTGCCCGTCGCCTGTTGTTATATACGCC